GAAGAAGAGAGAGAGAGAGAGAGAGAGAGAGAAAGAGAGAGAGGAAAAAAAAAACTTTCATATACTCCTTAAAAAAGGATCCCACCCATAAAATATACTTATCATTTAACAAATCAACAATGATAGAAACTTTAAACGGTAAAAACATTTTACAACGTGTTTATTATTATTATCGTTATTATTATTATTATTATTATTAACGATAGTAAATGTATTAGTAGTAATATCATTATTGTTTATTAGTGGAAATTATCATTGTTAACGTTGTTAATATTATTGTTATCATATTAATATTATTGTTATTATTGTTATTGTTATAATAATATAATGATTATTTGTTATCAGTATGACAACACCATCGAACTTTAACAGTGTAACTATGCTACCGGGTGCATCATATTTCTATCCAACAACAGCATCACAAGCATCATCAAAATGGTTTACTGATGGACATCATCATCATCATCATCATCATCATCATCTTCTTTCAAATCAACCACCAAATTTGGATGATCAAATTCCACGAATTGTTACTTCAAGTGGTTTACGAACTTTATCAACCACAGATCATCTCAAATATTCCACTGATGTTCGATGGCCTTCTGAATTTGCTTATCCAATATCAAGTATTCATTCAGCTGCAGCTGCAGCAGCTGCAGCTGTTTCAGTTACTCCATCGGAAGCATATCCAACTGATCCATTTCCATCTACTTCAATGGCGCAATTATCTGGTAACTGTTGCTTGAATCGTTTTGATAATACCGGAAGTTGTTACTATCCAAATCCTGTCCTGTCATCACCATATAATACGTCACCAACCAATGAACATTTTACCGCTGCGGAACATATCGCTCATTGGAAGGTAAACATTGGTAGGATTCATTTAAAAAAATTTGATGTTTTAAATTTCCCATTAATAATTATTATTTATTCAATGATATATACTTATTGAACAAACAAAAATGAGTATTTGTAATGTACGTACAAATAGGTCCAAATACGTGCAAACGTGCAAATACGTGCAAATGTACAAATATATACAAACGTACAAACGTGCAAATATGTATAAACGTACAAATATGTACAAATGACAGAAATATCATGTAATAATTTAAACAAATGGTTATAATTTTACATTTTTCTTTTTAAAGTTGACAAAAAGGAAAGAAAAAAAAACAGAGTTTATTTTATATTTGAAATTACTAAATATAATTAATTTAATGTTCAATAATTACAATCAAATTTTAGCTCAAAATTAAAATTACAATTCTGAATTAAACTTAAATTTTGCTATTTCATCATTTTCGGTTCCAACGCTTGCTTATACAACATCATTGAACGGTAAACGATCCGCATCAATTCGTCTTCAACAACAACAATCTACCTCACCACCGTATCGCACAGGTCCCGGTACTAACAGTAAGCATTTCGACATTTGTACATTCATTCTTCCTTTCTTCTCTTTTTTCTTTTTTTTTTTTTTATTACATCTTTTTCATACGATATAAATTGTTAAAAAAATAAAAAATTACGGTACGTAAGAAATTATGGTACTAAAAATTAAAAAAAAAAACCAATTACGGTATTTAATAATATATTTTTATTGAATGAATAAAGATATCATAGCATAATTAGCTTTTTATATGTGACATAGCATTTTATAAATTATTTCAAAAAGGGCAAAATTTTTCTGAAACATACAATATTTGTTTTTTTTTTTCAATAGACAAATAAAATGATAAGAACATATTATATCAGCATAGCTTTTCATATATTTTGACGTTAAATTCGTCATCAATGTCCTTTTTTTTTTTCATCCACCCACTCCTTCATCAATCTGCCGAAAATAATTTGCCGTTTTATCACATTTTAAAATTTATCAATTGATTAAAGATTGCTCTTTTTTCCTTTTTCTCATAATTATTTCAAAAATTTATGCAAATTTTATTTATCATAGTTTCTAATTCCTTCCATTGCATATTTAGGTACGAAATAAAATAGAAAAATGATTAATTAATTAATTAAAAAAAAAAATGTATGAAAGATGGAAAAAAAAAACACAAATTAACCAATAGATTTTGTCAGATCAGATTAAGATTTTAATCATTTTAATCATAATTTTTTAATTCCTTCTCATCTTTTCTTGTTGATTACAGTAAAAAAAAAGGAGAAAAAGGGAAGGATGTTGTTTATTTTGTCAGATAATCTCAATTTAAAATACATTTTAAAAAATGAAATAGTTTTAATTGTACTGATAAAAGGGATATTTTGCAAGAAAAAATAAAAGAGAAAAAATTGTCAATTATTATTATCATAAAACCAATTGAATTTATCATTAATCTAAAATATACTGAAGAAATAGAAATAAAAAATTGAAAAGAAATGAATTTTCTTGTTTTTCCTTGAATTCTTTTTACTTTTCAATTAATAAATTAATGATATAATGCATAAATATTTATCATTTATTAATACTTTTTAAAAAATTTAATTAAAAAAAAAAATTCATCTTAACAACAATGGCAAATACATTTCTAAGGCGTTTTATAATTAATAAATCTTATCAATAAAATTTTCATTGTGAAGTATTTATTCAAATTAATTTTATTTTAAAATAATACTTTTTTATTTGACATTATTTTATTAGTATTATTTTATTAATATTATTTAATAAAAAATAAAAATAAAATGAAAAATAAAAATAAAAATAAAAAATAAACAATAAGATATTATTTTATTTGTATTATTTTATAAAAAATAAAACAAAAATAAAAATAAAAATAAACAATAAAAATAAAAATAAACAATAAAATAAACAATAAAAATTATTGTTTAATTTATTTATTTTTGTTAATTTAACTATTTAATATTATTTCATTAGTATTATTTTAGTATTATTTTATTCGTATTATTAGTATTATTTTATAAAAAACAATATTATTTTATTTTTGCTAATTTAACTATTTAATATTATTTCATTAGTATTATTTTGTCAAAGCAATATTATAATTATTTTATTTTTGCCAATTTAACTATTTAATATTATTTCATTAGTATTATTTTAGTATTATTTTATCAAAACAATATTATATTATTTATTTATTTTTGCTAATTTAGTTATTAAGTATTTTATTTTTTTTCTCTTTACTCGATTATAAATTGATAGAATAATATTGCAGCAAAAAATATTCGATAATTTATGAATATATTATCTTGTCTGGTTTCTGTTTTTTCTTTTCCTTTTTTTTTCCTTCTTCTTCTTCTTAATAGTTCAATGAGAAGAAAAAAGTAATTGCCAGAAATGAACAATTATTTAGTTTAGAATCATAAAACATTCATCAATTGTTGTATTGGTAGAATAGAGGAAAATACACCGATCGTTGTAAAAAAGAAAAAAAAAAAAAACTTAAAGCATAAATCGAAAAGTGTAACATTTTGTTGAATGATTTACAATTGATATTAGCTAATATATATCAATATGTATGTTCATCTTTTTAATCTCAGGTATATATATATATGTTTCGTTAAATTCTTTGCTTATATTTATGAATAAAATAAAAAAAAAAATAAAAAAAAGTAGGGATGATAAAAAGACAAGAAAATGAATGCTAAATAGATATTTGAAATTTAAAAAAAAAAAAGTAATTCAATTATATTAATAGCAATAGTAATTACATATGATGAAAGATGATAATTTAAAAAAAAAAATTCTTTTAAAATATTCAAAAATTTTCATATTTCAAAATAGTCGTCGTAATTTTCTTTTTTAACCAACTAATTTGTATATTTATAAACGAATTCTTTGATAATTCATGTATTTTTTTGGTAATTAATTTATTGTGGAAAGCTAAGTTAGTCTGAATAATTAATAAAATTTCAAAAAAAACAAATGTATAATTTTAGATTAAAATATTTTTAGATAAAATATTACTTTATTGTACTTCTTTTTTTTTTT